AGAGATCTGCCTGTCTCTGCCTCCCGAGTGCTGGGATTAAAGGCATGCGACAAACACCGAAGAATGTCTTCTTTTATGCAGTGTATACTCCAATGTTTTGTCTACTTTAAGATGGAGTCATTTTTATCATTTACTGAGATAGGGTTTCACTATGTTATCTTTGCTGTCCTGAAAGTTTCTGTGTGGATCAAGCTGGCCTCAAATTCAGAGATCCACCTGCCTCTATTTACCAAGTGCTGTAATTAAAGTAGTACATCATCATGCCTGGCCCAATATTGAATTGTTTTTAGTAAATGGTAAGAATACTCCCTATTTTCTGATACAAGTCCTTTGCCAAATATATGTACTGTGTATATTTTACTTTGCCTTTCCTGTGGTAAACTTGAGTTGAGTATAAAACAACGTCTATCTAATATTGCTGAATTTGATTTGCTAATGAGGTGTTGAGGACTTTGCTTGTATGTTCATGAGAGACACCGTGGTTTTCTTCAAGTTTTATGTCAGTGTTAATGTTAGTGCCATAGAATGGACAAGAAAACATTCCTTTCTCTGTTTTCTGCAACCCCAATGAAATTGTTGCTTCTGATACTATTTCTCACTAATTTTTTTTTTTTTTTTTTTTGGTTTTTTGAGACAGGGTTTCTCTGTGTAGCTTTGGAGCCTATCCTGGCACTCGCTCTGGAGACCAGGATGGCCTCAAACTCAGAGATCTGCCTGCCTCTGCCTCCCAAGTGCTGGGATTAAAGGCATGCGCCACCAATGCCTGGCCTCACTAATACTCTTAATGGGATTCACTAAAACAGGCATCTGGTCTGAGGCTTGTGTGATGTAAATAATGGATTTGATTTCTGTCAGAGACATGAGATATTGCTTTCTTTTGTGTGTTGTTAATTCGTATTTTTTAAGTAGTTATCTATCTCAATTGGGATACAGAAGTTGGCAATCTTCTAATACAATTTTTAAGACCATGTGGTAATATCCTCCTTCAATTCCTGGAAATCTATTTCCTAGTTTCTAAGGGTTCATCAATCTCATTGGTCTTTCCAAAGAACTGAGTTTGTTTTTATTAATTTTCTTATTTATTTTGTAGTCATTGCTTTCCACAAATATCTTTATTATTTCCCTCCTTCTACTTGTTTTGGGTGTAAATCGCTCCTTTCCACACTTGGCTAAGATGGAGGCTTAGGAGATTTAATTTGATGTTAGGACATGATTTTTCTCATTTTCATTTACTTCAAAATATTTCCAAATGTCCCTTGTGATACCTTCTGTCACCCACTGAATAATCAGAACAGTGCTGAGGAAAAGACAAGTTACTTCACCGGGCAGGAAGGTGGTGGAGAAACATGTTCAAAGTGCTAGATGGTAAGAATTGTCCATTAAGAAACCTATTTCTAAGGCAGGGGAGGAGGGGAGGGGTGGGAACTGGGATTGACATGTAAAACAAGATTGTTCTAATTTAAATTAAAGAATAATTAAAAAAGAAACCTATTTCTAGCAAAGCTAACCTCCAAAAAGGAAAGAAAGATAAAAGCATTCACAGATTGATGAAAATTGTGTGGCTAACAGACATGCTGTACCAGGACTGGAGAGATAGAGTCTCAGCCCAGAAAGTGCTTGCCAGGCAAGTGAGGACCTGAGTTCATCCCCTGAAAAACCCAGGTCTTGTGTTCTTTTAATGCAGGTGTCAAGTGGTGCCAGCACAGGGGAGGTAGAGCCAGTGTGACAGCTCAGAAAAAAAGATAGCCTGAGGAAAGACCCCAGGGTTGTCTTCTAGCTTCCACACAAACGCCAGTGAACACACATATGCATCCATGGCACCTGCACACACATGTACACAGAGCTTAGTTCTACATGCACACAAAAAGAGATGCTCTACCACACAAAAAAACCCAAAACTCTTTATTAGATTTCTATTACACTGGGATAAATACCAAAGATAAACCAACTTATGAGAAGGAGGGAATTACTGACCACTTGGTTTTGTGCCTGTGGTAAGGCAGACAGTTCTGGCATGTGGTGGGAGAGGAGCAGAGAAGGGCAAGCCAATATTCTTTTCAAAGGCATATCCCAGTGACAACTTCCTTCTGCTGTCTCCTTCCTAAATATGCCATCACCTTCAAGCAGAGCCATGGGTTGCTGATGGAACCTTTCTAGCACATGGCCTTAAAGAGACATTCTATATCCAAACTATACCACAGTCTTTCAGGCTAAAGTGAAGGGACAATGGAAAGAAATCAAATCTATACAAAGGAACGAAAAATGACAGACACAAAATACATTATAAAAACCAGGCGTTGGTGGTGCACGCCTTTAATCCCAGCACTCAGGAGGCAGAGGCAGGTGGATCTCTGAGTTCAAGGCCAGCCTGGTCTCCAGAGCGAGTGCCAGGATAGGCTCCAAAGCCACACAGAGAAACCCTGTCTCGAAAAACAAAACAAAAAAACCAAAAAACCCAACCAAACAAAAAAAAAACATATAAAAGACAATGTAAACACATTTTTGTTTTTTCCCTCTTCCTGACTTGAGACAACTCCAAAAAGCAATCATAAATCTACAACACACACACACACACACACACACACACACACACACACACACCCACACACACACACACACACACACACACACACACACACACACAATTTAGATGCAATTTGTGACAAGAATAGCATGGGAAGTGACTAAGCTGTAGAGAGCAATTATTGTTACTGAAACTGAAATTAATCTGAATGTGACATTTGTCAGCACTACAACCTCCTGCATGAAGGATTCTATGTTTTGTAAAAGTGTATTTTTGTTTCTTTGGCTGCCTTATCTAAGAGGCATTTGACTGAATGAAAATCAAGATATTTACCTCTATTTTCTGTGTTTTACATTTCTTGCTTACTTTTCAATCTAGATAATGATATTGATAATGTATAGATAATGACAGATTTTGCCCTTTATTCTTTCGACTATGCTTCAGGTTGCAAAGTCTCTAATTTTCAAGTTTGTTGACTCTTCTACTAGTTCAAACCTTCTGTTAAGCTGCTAGTGAGTATTTGGCTTTGGCTTTAAGTCCAAAATTGTCATGGGGTTTCTGAAAAGATTATTTATTATCTCTAATGGATGAGGAATTACTAAACTTCCCTCAGTTCTTTTAATCAGTTTCCTTTAAGTTTTTGAATGCACTTACCAATGCTGCTTATCACTTACCTGGTCCATCTCTCAAAGGTTTCTAGTATGCTTTTCTCTGATCACATTTTTAATTCTCTATTTCATAGTTTTGTATTGACCCCCCCCACCACCACCACCACACATACACACCTACCTCCAATATATTACTTTGTAGTGATTTGGCTGAGCCAAATCAGAAGCCCAGTTCTGCCTCAGATGTTACTATCCAAGCATCTGCCTGTTTTTTTTAAGTCTCACTTGCCAAGGAGTTGCTCTTGGGTCTGGGTTTAGTGGTCAGCCCTCTGCATCTGTAAAGTATACTCCCCTTATTACAAGACCCATGCTGAGGGAGTTTACAGATTTGCCCTGTTCAGCCAGGACCGTGTAACCCAGAATCCTTCTGGTCAATCCTCTGCAGTTACAGCTTGCAACAGGTGCCCACTCTATTAGAAGACATGTTTTCTCTGGGTTCCACTTTCACTTACTCTGTCCTTAAACTCCCGGGTGGCACCTTTGGTATGATCCATAACTGCGGGCCTTCCTTAAGTTCTTACTGGTTGCTGTTTTTAGCAATACTATGGGGTAGGAAATGCTCATGTTTTGAATAAAACCATGTCCTGTGATGGGCTTAAGGCATCACTTTGACTGGATTAAAGACTACCCTGAGAATTGTAAAGGGTTTTTGCTTTTTCCCCCAAAGGTGGTAGGCATAGGGCATGCTGTCTCTCCCTTTTTTTAAGTCTAGGACATTTATCTGCCCTTAGATGTCAGAGCTAAAGTCCCCCGGCTCTCAGGCTTTTGATCTCAGACTGAAGAATCATATTGATTCACAGGTTTGGGGACTTGTTCTGAGCCACATTACCATCAACTTTGAGTTTCTAGTCTGCAGACTATTTACAGGGCTTCCCAGACTCCCTAACTGCAGAAGCCAGTCCCTCCAATACAAGTCATGTATACTTGTGCTGGTTCCATCTCTAGATGACCTAACTCCTTGAGATAAGCACTATGGAAGTCTTTGAAGCTCTCTCTAGCCCTCCTCTGAACAGCACCTTTGCTCATGGAGTTAGAGGTTGGAAGAGGAGTTATAGGCAGGGCAATGCCGAGGAAAACACAGTCAGCCAAGTTTAGTACAGGTAATTGTCCACTGAGAAATACTTTCTTAGACTAGTTTTTCCTTCAGATGAGTCATGCAGATGACTTTGTGCCCTTTTCTATAAAGTAGGTCTGCTTCCTTATTAATGTTTTGTTTAGGAATCCAACTCTCAGTGTACATCTTAAAATTTTCAAGATATGGAAGCCAATGATCTTTAATATTTTGCTCTATTAATATTTTTCTCTCTTAGAAAACATCTCATATGTATGGGCATTCTGCCTGCATGCACATCCGTTCACATGTATGCTGTGTCCTTGGAACCTAGGATGGGGGGGAGTGTCAGAACCCATGAAACTGGAATTTACTAGGGATTGTGAGCCAGCACTTGGGTGCTGGGACCTGAAACTGGGTCCTCTGTATGAGCAGCAAGTATTCTTAACCAGTGACCCTCTCTCCAGCCCCTGAAATGTATTTTGAATGTTATGGACTGTCATGGTGGCCTCTTCTCTCCTAGTCACAGAAGGTAACATGCTATTTATGGACCTATCCGTTAACAAGAAAGTTCAACTCTACTGCTACTAAGGTGCTCAAGATCAAAAGTGTTTCCCAGCAGAGCCAAGAATAAATGACCATAAATGTAGCCTGTATTTACTCTCTACTCATCAGACATTAGAGGGAAGGGGAGGTATTTCCCATTAGGATTTCCATTAGGCTTTAGCTCAGTTAAAAAGAAAAGAAAGAACTCTCATGTTAACACAAGCTTAAGTTTAATTGAAGAAAACTTTCAAAACCTTCATTAACAGTGAACAAGGAAATGAACAATGCTTACCATTCTTTAAACATCATGTACATTATTAATATATACTGTGTATTTCCAATCAATTCCACTCAGGCTCAATTCAAGAAACACAATTATAACAGGTTTTATACAAAAAATACTCCACTAAGAAAGTAGATAAACTGCACAAAACAGTACAAGTATAATGTGCATAGCAATATAGCTTGAAGTATCTATTTATGGCTTTGTTTAAATCAAAACTATTAGGGGAATGGGCCCACTTAGGACCTACTGTTACAGTTGACTTATGTAAACTGTTCACATAATTTTTAGGCACTTGCTAAAATAGTGTTTAATCCCTGAAAAAAATAAAATGTATGCCAACAAAAAAAAAGTCAGAAATAAAAAATAACATGGGTACAGTCTTTTTAAATCACCCACTTTTATTAATGCATGCACAGAACTGAAAGAAAATATTTTTTGTGTCCTAAACTTTCTGTGCAAATTTACATAATCAAGTACAAAAATATGTACATTTTTATATACAAAAAAGAAGCCCTGAAATTTTGATCCAATCAATGAAAATGTCATTAATATGTATAGTAACAAAACAAAAAATTTACATTGTATGTCATTTTTTAATAGAACTCCATTATCCAATGAGGCAAAAACAATTGTTATAAATGTGTATGGTAAAGTTAAATCGGTAATTGTTATGAAAGTCCACTTTAAAATTGTTGCGCATGTCTCTTAGGAATTTTTCTTAAAATCTTATGAACTGCTACTGAGTCCATCATTAATGCTTGCTTCTCTATTTTCAAATGCCAACTATTAATACTATTTGGGGTTGTTGGTCATCCTGAAAAACTACTAATGAAAATGGTCTATCCTAAAGTGGACATGTTTAGGCAAGAACAGTAATTAAACACAAGCAAAAATATGATCTGCTTTGCTAACCTTGCTTCAAAATATTATCTCTGTAAAAATAAATTGTTTTAATTTTCAAGAAAAGCCATTTCCTTTGAAGTATTTCCATATTTTTTCTGTTCATTTTGAAGGGTTGCCAACCAAGGGAGAAAAAAAGGCCTCTTGTTATGGACACTTCTAAATCAGATAAGCCTAATGTACAAATAGAACCAAATTCAGGAAAATGTTGACTTTCAAGTGCGTTTTAGAGAAAGTTTCCTTCTCCTCTGGAGACTGCCCCATTTACTTCAATGATTGAGCCAGCCACAGAAATAGAGAATTATCTTGGGAGAGTATTCCAACCTGATATAGGGCAGAGTTAACAGCAATAGGATTTACTTGCCGAAAACTCTTCAAGCATTATTTCAAGTTTAAGAGCAGTCCAGTCAGATGTAGCTTCAAGAGAACATAATACCTTTCAAATGAACTATAACAGATAGAGAGTAACTTTATTCAAGCTCAGTCCATCTTCACACGCACTAAGAAACTCCTGTGAAAGGGTTCTCCATCTCCAGAGAATCTCTATTTGTCAGATCTATAAGGCTGGTGGGAGAAGAAAGGGAATGAGGCTGTCCACCATTACACTCTCTCTACTCAGTCTCTAAACTCAACTGGAAAAACTTTTATCAAAAATTTCCTTGGCCCTACCTTCCCACAGATGCCATCAAGGTCTATCTGTGCTAATTACTTTCTTTTAAAACATGTGTATCTGTGGCATTTTCAAGTACCACACATAAAGCTTTTGCTCTTCCACAGAAATAGAACCAACTCTGAAATTGTTCAAAAACTATACTGATGTAGAAAAAGCCTGAATTATGGTAACATAACCCATTTTTTCTTTCTAAAGTATCTTTCCTTGGTAATCACAGTAAGTTATTCTAACATATTCCAATCCCGAGTAGCTTCCACTAAATGTCTCTGCCCATGCCCAGCCCACACATCCTGATTGTCAAAAACTCTACCACAGAACCAGCAGTTAAACTTAGCTTTCAAGACATCTTCAGAGGTAGTTTTTACAATCTGGTAATTATTTTTGCTTGTCTTTTTGAGTGTTAGTTTTAGCACGAATCTTTCTTTCACAGAATTAGCAGGTTTAAGCATCTTGTGTCTCTTGGAAAAGTCATTGTAAGTTGTTTCAGAAGTGTTATAATAAACTGGTTTCAGTAAAGCATTAATAGTTGTTTGTGACAATGAAACCTTCAGTACACGTCCATTAAACTTTGCAATAGTTTTCATTACACGTTCTACTTCTGGAGCATCTGCATCAGGATGGTTCAAAACCACAACTGGTTGATTTCTCCTAGGACATTTCACCAGCTGTTTGGAATTAAAAGGGAAAAGTCTCAAAGTTCTACCTGAATCCTTTGAAAGCCTGGGTCTGCTAAATCCAAATGTTTCCTGGACATCTTCAGAGCTAGCCTTTTCTCTACATTTCCTATGCAATGTTGACTTCTTCCTTGGGGGTTCTTGATAATTATCAATGTACTTTCGTTTACAGCTTCTGTTTCTAGATACAATGGTGATTTCAGAATCTTGACTTATACGAGTCTTGATTTTTGCAAACTTATTTTTACAAATCTTTCTTTTACTGAAATTTCTCTCAGTTGTACAGTTTGCTTTACACCTTAATACTCTTGTTTCTGAATGCTCGCTGATACACCCTGGTTCCTCAGAAGATTCTGGACATGTTGCAGTTGAAGTAAGAACAATTTCATTTGCTGGCATCGAACCATCTGAGACTGGTAAGGCATCTCTAGAAGATTCTAGCTCTTTCTGCTCTCCAAGTCCCGCTAGTTTAGATGGTACATTTTCTTTCTGGAATGAGGATGCAGAGTTGCTAACTGAAAGATTATTAGCAGTACTCACACTTAAAACAGGATTAAAAATTTTTACCAGTATCTTCTGTGGTGCTCCTTCAGGTCTCTTTGGCTGAATATACTGGTAAGGACTATTTCTGACTAACTTACGCTTAAGCAGTTCAGTGTTATTTGGCATCATATACTTAAAAAACACAGCTTGTTTACCATCAGGCATGAGGGTGTACAGAGATGCTTTGGGCAAGTTTTCATTCTGTTGTTTTCCTGTACCCAAGATATTCATCTTAGGGCCCTGCTGCTGCTCAGGTAGAATGTTAGGAAAATGAACAGCTCTCACTGAAGAACCTACAGGTGTTTTAATAATGTAAGGACCCGTCAAGGGCAATGTATTCTCTGAGCAACTTTTCATGTTGACACAAGTGCCAACACTGGAACAAAGTGTAGGTGTAAAACAGTTACTGTTTTGTTCTACTTTCAGAAAAGACGTTTTGCAAGGTTCTGTAGTTATAGTTCCGTAACTTTGAACACTCTCAGTTTTGACAGTGGGAACACTTTCAGGTTTCCCATTAAGTGTCAAAAGCATTCCAGGTTTCTTGTTTACAAGGAGAGAAGCAGGTACACTCTGTGTATTAACCAAAAGGAGAGGTCTTCCAGAGAAAACAGGGAATCCAGGCTTGTTAGCAACGTGCACTGGTATAATAAAACCTTTTGGAGTTTGAACAAATACAGGATTTTTCTGTTCTGAGGTTAGAAATGGATTCTGAATATATACAGGACCCGAATTTTGTGTTGTGGTTCGGAGTTTGTCTTTTACAAGCTGTTGTGTTATTATTGCATCGGACTGAGTCTTAAGTAATGTGATAATACTTGGAATTTTAGCAGTCACCTCTGAATCTCTCACATCTTGTAATACTGACACCACTTGCTTTTCTTGTCCATTACATTTTAAATTCAAATCATTTGTAGGCATACTAACACCTACACTGGCAGATGGGCCTGGCAAGATGTCTTGCACTTGGAAGTCTTTTGAAGATTCTACTATTATTTCTTCTTCCTCAGCCTTTTTCAATGTTTGGTCACAATCAAGTGGGAGGTTTTCACTGGGAATGTTATTAGAGTCTTCCTTTATATCAGATTTTGGTTTTAATATATCTTGAAGTAACTGGTTTACTTCTGGTGGCAAAAATTCTGAAGCTTGCTGGCTCTGGAGAGAGAAAACAGATGTGATTCTAGGCATCATAGGGGAGCCAGCACTGGGAATATCCTTCCATTTAGCTTCTTCAGTCACACTCAATAAATCTTGGTTTTCATTAGTAAAGAGGCTTTGGTTATCAAAATTTTGTCCTTCATCTAAATTACACGGTTCTTCAATTTCCGCTTTCATTTTTAAAGTTCCATCTTTATCATCTAATGGGCTGACAGGTGCTGACGGGCTATCTGAGTCGGAGCTCTCCTTTCTTGTTGGTGGGGAAAGTGTATCACTGTCACTAGTTGACTCTTGAGTAACTGTTTTGTTTGCAGAGTCCCTTTGAAGATTTTCAAATGTATCACTGTCACTAGTTGACTCTTGAGTAACTGTTTTGTTTGTAGACTCCCTCTGAAGACTTTCAAACGCCGCTGTTCTTGAAAACCTACGACGCTTATTATTCACCTTTGAGTAATTATGAAAAGGTAATGATACTTGGTTGCAGAACTCAAAACAGCTGGAGGATTCATCAGGTAACTCAGAGCTGACATAATTAATGCAATAGTTATGCATATCTCCACAACTGTTTGCATTTGGCTTAGTGGTAAGGTTGACTTTATCTGGACTTTTAATATTGGTGGTACCTAACACATCTGGATGACTTTGAGTGGCATCATTTTCCCACAAGTCAACATTATCTGTTGCTTCAACTTTTGTGGTCAAACTCACCGATGCAGTAACTGATTCTGACGTTGTTGGCAAAGAAGATAAACTTTTACTGTTATCTACCGTCTGAAGCACATTATTCTTTTCAGATATGAAAGCCATTTCTTTTTCAGAAATTTCTTTCTTGGAAAGCACCGAAGACGAACTTGAAAGTGGAGCTGCTTTCACAAAATTTGTGTCATTCACCTCAGTTGTTACTCCAGTTGCAAATCCAGTGTTGTCCAAAGACTGGGGTGGCAAATTAGCTGTACTATCCTTTTCTTTGTTTGGTTGTAAGGCTGGTGCAGGTTTATTGATCGGCAACAATTTTATTACAATATGCTGTCTCCCATCTACCACCTTGAAGCCCATAAACTTGGCGCTGTAGTTAGCAGGAATTGTAATCTTATTATTTCTCACCAGTAACACTGTAGGCCCTTGTACACCACTCTTCAAGAAACTTGAAGTAGCATTTGCTCTCTCGCCAGCTTTATTATATTGCCCAGTGGACAGCAGAGTTGACTTTTCTGCTTCTGTAGGTTTGTCACCATTCTCACAGTGCAGTCTTTCACCCTTTTCATCACTTAATTGCTCCTGACGCTGATCTTCAGATTTAGTCTGTGTTTTGCTCACTATATTAAACACTTGAGCATTTTTTCCTATACTTTCATCATTCCCATTGGTAACTGTCTTACGTTTCCAAAACGTCTTTGTTGGACCTATTTTGTATCTTTTAAGTATTAGTTTAAGTCCTGTTGTAGTCGCCACTCTTTTATCATACTGGTCTTTTTCTAGTTTTTCTTTCGCATATAAGTGTTCTTTATGCAAAGTTATAACATGTCTGACAAGTTGGTCTTTATGAATGGCACCATAGCTACAGTAGTGACAAGTGAAGGGAAGAGTACCAGAGTGGACACGAAGGTGCTTCTGAAGTTCTCCCTTGGTAAAACAGAGGTGATGGCATTTTCCACATTTATAATGCATTTCTTTATGTCTGTGAATGTGCTGAACAAATGTGCCCACATCCTGGGTAAAGAATCTACACTCTTCACACTGAAAATTTCCATTAACACAATGGTTAGATGTGAAGTGTTTTGTCAAGTCCAATAAAGTATATGAACGCTCACTGTTACAAATATCACATTTTACAAAAGTGTTCCTATGGGTTTTTCGGTGTTGCTTAAATATCTGGAAGTCATCTGCTGAAAAACTACACATTTCACAAGGAAATGAAGGTAACTCACCATGATGCCACATTTCAAAGTGTTTCTGCAAATCGTTTGGGCTATACTGAGTACTGTCTTGGCATTTTAAACAACTGAAGTTGAGTATTTTTGCAGACATGTTTCCACTGTCTTCTTCAGCTCGCTCAGATTTACAAGGCAGCACACACTCCTCTGCACAGCTTACCGTCTGGACACTGATACATTTCCTTGCCGTCTGTGGTTTACTCTGAAATAATATTCTGTATTTTTCAACTTCATGTTTCCTTAAGATTTCATCTGGAATATTTATCTTGGGCAAACTGATGTTCACGGTTTTTAGTTCGTAACGAACACTCGTTTCTGAAATTTTTGGTGTAGGTATTGATCCAATAGTATCTGCTGCCTCATTTCTTGCATCAAATTCTTTCAAACTAGTTTGTTTTTCATCACAAAATGGCTGTGTCTGTTCAAATGGCATGATTTAATTAAAAAAAAAAAAGTTTCTTTTGTTCTGAAGACTTGTGAAGTTATTTGCGACCTAAACACAAAACAATACTGAGTTGAAACATCTTCAAAATAACCAGGATTTTCCTCACATCAACTCACCTAAAATTAAAGAATTGAAATTCTCATCACAAAATTCAAAGTAAATTTCTTCTTTCTAAGTTCATTCTGACTCAACAAAGCAAAAATGCTAATCAAACACATACACTAAAGACACAAAGACCTGCTCTGGTAAGAAAGCCCAGGGCTAAAGAAGGCTTCATGCAGCAATTGAAACAGTACGATTAGCTTCTGAAATCTCTTTCATTTAGCTTCACTGTCAGGCTCGACGTGGTGGCAAGGTGACTATTCAAGTTCAGTTAGCAGCCTTTAAGGTACAAATTAAATAAAAGAACATATCACTCCTCCAAAAGCAGACACAGTCTTGGCCCAAATTTTCGGAAGTGTCATTCCCTATAATAAAACAGGTTTCTATGAATGCCCATACCTGATTTATAGGCCCCTCATTGGAGCCAGAGGCATAAAGCACCATCAACCACGAACTGACATCAGGAATTATAGGATGCTTCCCTAAAAGAAAATTAGAGCATTATTACTAACAGATAATAGGAATGGACAAGATAAATACAATAGCAACATAAACACATGGTTTTCTGTTTGTTCCTGCATAAATAAGAGTATTACATAAAAGGCTTTTGAACATCTTAACTCTTTTTACTTTTGTATATACTTCTTTCTAAGAACACCAATGCAAAAAGATCTAGTTCCCCCTTCTAATGGCTATAGAATATCTCACATAGTGGATGTGTGTGGCCTACTTAACCCCTACTCTCCTGCTATTACAAAGGCTGCTTGTAGACTCTGACCACCGAACAAGATCTAGAAGGACACATTGAAGCTGAGCTGCATGTAACTAAATGACTTTTTGTTTCTCGTAATGCCCATATTAAAAAAGTAAAAGCTCTTTTTAAAAGCTAAAAATCAAATAAAAATCTGAAGAAAGCTACAGAACTATCATTCCATGTCACATTTATTGATATAATATTTCTGAAAGATATATAGATATACATCTGTTTTCATCCTAATGTGTACTTCCACAGTTCTAAAAATGCCTTATACCAAACAAAATTAAAAACCTACACTGGAAATATTATGAAAGAATTACAGAATTACAGACTTAATTTTTCTTTCTTATAGCCTATATTTATTTTTTTGTGCCTCTCTCTGAAAAGAAAGACAATGTGTTCTATGAATAACATCAGAGGTAAATGTGTATTTATCTTCTCATATATTGAAAGGGATTTAAATTGAAATGACTATTGGCTGCAAATTATAATATACTAAAACCTCAAAACATAAAGAAATAAAAAACCTATAAGCAAACTTCCTAGCAACTATTTTGTTGCATTATATTAATAAGCTTGCTGCATTATATTAATAAGCTTGAAGGCAAGATTCTCAATGATGGTATCAACAAAGACAACTGCCATTAAAGTCACTATTTGATCTGATAAGCCCATTAGGAGCGCAAACTAAGTTACTGACTCATAAATTTTTGAAATAGTGAACTAGAATAGGATCTTTAAAACTTTTGTATTACCAAATACACTGTTACACATGTGTAACAGTGAAGGTCATATGAGGGCATGGGGTCCTAAAAGAAGAAAAGCTACTAAAAGTAACTAGAACTGCTGGGAAGCCAGGATGTAAGGATGTCTAAATGAATGCTCTCCTTCATGCAGATAGACCTTAAAGATGATTCAATAATGACTAGCTATGTAAAAGCTTAATTTACAAATAAGTAATATCCTTAGCTTTTACTTAAATTTGATAACTGGAACTGTGAATTAATGCAGAATGTCAATACAGTGTGGGAAGAGCTCATACATTTCAGGTAACTGAGGGCTTATAATTTGATCTCAAATTTCAACTTTACCTGGAGAATCTCTGTGATCTTGAAGCATGTTTACTCTCTAAGTGTGTAAGTAATGCCACCAAGAGAACAGAACAACTTATACTAGAGCTGCCACCTTTGGTGGAAAGGGAAAGGAAAAGGGAAAAAGAAAAGGAAGGAAGGAAGGTAGGTAGGTAGGAAGGAAAGGAGGGAGGGAGGGAGGAAAGAAGGAAGAAAACAAACTATGTTATAAATACCTCAGGTAACACAGGACAAGAATTTTATCATAATTTTCACCTCTACCTATTAAGCTAGTTTTTAATTACAGTCCAATTTCCATCTCCACCAACAAAGATTACTGGTTATTTGAACTACGGTTTTACTAACTTGTAAGTTTACCAATATCCAAATCACTGAAATAAAACACTTTTATAAAAATAGTACAATAATCTGGAGTTTCCTACATTGTGATTGCCAATAAAAACTATAGGCTTTCTTCCCTCTACCACCTGACAAGTGAAATAACAAAAAGACTTAAAAAGATCTAGAAACAAACAAAATTCCATAAACATATTACAAAACAGTTGACAGGAAATGGCCTGGTGAGAAAGACAAACGCTGACCCACTAACAACCATCTTTTTTTTTTTTTTTCCCCTCCAAGACAGGGTTCCCACAGTCCCCCCCCTGCCTCTGCCTCCCGAGTGCTGGGATTAAAGGCGTGAGCCACCAACGCCCGGCACAACCATCATTTTAAGAAAATGTATTTGTTTGTAAGTGACACACTAGCTATTTTCCTGTGTTGCCTAAGCTGGACTCAAATTCCTGGGTTCAAACGCAATTTTTCCACCTCAGCTAGTGAGTAACTGGGACTACAATAAAATATTAAACACCATTTGGGAAGAGGAAGAATTCCATTAGGAGATACCCATTCAACCAATATTTAATGACTATCAATTACACCGTAAGTAAGGAAGTGACAAAATTTTGCCCCCTTTATCCACTAAACTTACCTTGGGAGAGATGGAGACTTGAATGAAAGATCAGATCGGAGCTCTTTGGGGGACAGAAGGCTCAGGCTAATATAAGAGCGAGAAGAAAGGAATCCAGAGTTTCCTGCTGAGTCCAGAAACCAGGAAGAATAGGGAACTTCTAGTATCAACTGTCAGGAGAGATGTAAAGGGAAAATTATTACTGCACACAAATGAACCTTCCTATACTAACAGCTATCTTCCTCTGCTAGGACTGTCTTCTCTTAAGTTATGCCTATTTCACCTTCTAATTAAAAAAACTGAGAAAATCTTGTTTTTATCTCATCTCATCTCAGCTATTGATGTCATTAGAAAAGTTAAGCAGGAGCTGGACATGGTGGTGCCTGCCTTTAATCCCAGCACTGGGAGGCAGAAGGATCTCTGTGAGTTTGAGGCCAGTCTGGGGCTTATAGTGAGTTCCAGGCCGGTCAGGGATACACAGTGGGATCAAAGAAAAAGAGAAAAACAAAAACAAAAAGGATAAGTGCAAATAACTAGATAAAGTGGTGGTTGGTTGAAAGAAAGGAAGGAAACAATTTAAATATTCGGAGAAACTTCTTTTTCTCTTTCTCTTATCCAAGTAACTACAAAGTTATTGCCTTTGAAAAAAAAAAGAAACAAAGAATATTTCTTTTAAAAAAAATCAAGTAGTACAACAGCTCCCCCATATCCCCCTTGACCTCACCTAGGGACAGGGAAATATCCCAGTGGATTCCTAAACATGTATATACATTTATCTTCTTACACATATCTATGATGAAGCCTAACTTATAAAATAGACACAGTAAAAGATTAACAATAAAAATAAAATAATATGCTATAATAAAATGTATGTAGTTACTGTATTATATTTATCATTCTTCGGGTGTTAAGTCTAATGATACAATGCTCCCAAAGCAAGGTAAACGATACAGACACTGCAGCACAGCACTGAGCTACTATACTGGGAAATATGATGCCATGAACATCAAGCTGAAAACCAAGACACCTCCCAGGCAGACAGGTAGCATATACAGTGTGGGCAGGCTAGACAAAGAAATAATTCACATCACATCACAGAAATAAACTTCAGCACATCTCTCAGAGTAGCATGCAATTAAGAACATATCAACTGATTATTTCTGGACATTTCTATTCATCATTTTCAGACTATCACTGTTAAAAATGGGAGAGTTCTATAGTTGGCAATTACAGTGAGATTCAAGGATATATATATATATATATATATATATATATATACACAAACATATATATATGTATATGTAGCTAATGTTATATAAGAGAGAACAAAGTAAATGAGAAAGATAATTTTGAAGTCAAAAGAAAAAATTACAGTAATTTAAAAAAGAGACTGAATTTTTAAAATCAAAGTTTCTCCAAATGCTAGGCAGATTATGAGTAGGAAGAAAATATAAAACTCAACACTTAACAACTTACCTAGTAAAAATTTTCAGTTTAAAAGACAAAATAAAATTGTATCAAAATATGGTAAAGGAGTTCTGTTAAATGGGATTAAAATTTTCATTAACTGCATCAACTAGTTAGGTAACTATACCCAACACCAATACTAGCCAGCTATAAATGTATTGAGATATGGAATACGGATCACACATTTATGGAGTTTTCAGGGGAAAGGAGAAACCTAAGAGTTGATTCTACATCTAATTAAAAACTCTCAAGTGAGAAAAAGTATACAAAGATCCAGAGACTATGTCATAAAATCTGCAACATAGAAGTAAATATAAACAGTATTACTAGTATAGTTAAGGAACTAGAAAAGATTGGAAAAAAGGGACATATACAACATCAAATACATAAATTCTTATGGAAAAATTAACAGTGAGTTTCCATTGCAAGATTATAAAAAGAAAATGTTAGATTGTGGAAAGCAAATGGGCAGTAAATGACCAAGAACACTTAATCTCTGGCCAACAGTTGGTAAAGTTAAGAACCGATCCATCTTACACTCTGAATTTTCAGAAGACCCAAGAATTGCAGTACCAAGCAGGCAGAAAAGCTGAAGTGAAATTTAGAGAAAGAAATTGTATTTTTTAATATAAAAACAAATAGGCACATCCACTATATTAGTATATAAATTTGCTTTAAGCCTTTGCTAAGTTATAAAATTATATGTGTACCAAATTATGGTTTTGAAACAAGTTCTTATAATTATCAGTAAACATTTAATCTGTGTACCTATTTTATAAGCCTATTTATCCAGAGTTCCATAAAAAATTCTTGGGCAAAGGGGTAAATGAGTAGAAAAAAAACATAAGAAGCCTGTATTAGATAAAATACTATTTGTTTTGAGACAGGGTCCCTATACATAGCCCTGGCTGTTCTGAAATTCACTACATAGACCAGGCTGGCCTCGATTTCATAGAGATCCACCTGCCTCTGGCTCTGGCTCCCCAATTCTGATACTAAAGGTGTGCACCACCATGCCCAGCAGAATACTGCTTTCATTTTTTAGGAGCAGGGTGGGAGGAGAGGACAATGAGGCAGACCAAACCCAGGGCCTTATATATGCTAGTAGGTAATTGTTCTAGGTAAGTGTCGGGGGACTACAAACACATCTCAACGTAAAGAAAGTCTGGATTTGACCTAATAGAAGTTTTATTTAGAATTTTTTTAATGCTATCTTTAACAGTATGAATTTTGGTATTACAGAGAATTTGAACAATGACCTAGAATAGAACACTGTCTACCATGTCATATACTCTGTACTAGTTAACTAACCATAATAACCCTCTTCTGGCCCCAAGGGCACTTAATGCATATGGTGTACATACACATATTAGAAAAACACTCACTCATACATACAAAAAGTATTATTAAAAGAATATATCTTATAAAAAGAGTATGTATCAATAATATTCAAACATAGGTTAAGAATATGAAAACCGGGTGGTGGTGGCGCATGTCTTTAATCTCAGCACTCGTGAGGCAGAAGCAGGTGAATCTCTGTGAGTTTGCGACCAGCCTGGTTTACAAGAGCAAGTTCTAGGACAGGCTCCAAAGCTACACAGAGAAACCCTGTCTTGGAAAACTAAAACCAAAATAGAATATGAAGTAAATTATAAAATATCCACAAGAAAACATTACACGGGAAGATATTATTGAATTGGGAAATATAGTTTGCGTAACATTTTAATGTTAAAAGGGGAGTTGAACATTAAAGCATACAATGTATTTTCAAGTTAGGAGGAAAGGCAATCATGTGTATGATAGGAAAAATAATCTAAAAAGCAAATAAACCTCTATGAAGACACTCACCAAGACACTGATAGCAAGTGAATTTTTTAAATGAATGACAGCATGTTTTGTACAATAAAACACACCTAATCAGCAGACTCTTCATCCCTCCCAAGTATGTGGATGGCAACCAAGGAACAACATGACTACCACAAGCCTTTAGGCACATCTGTGTATATAGTCCAGCCCATGAATCTTGGAAATCCTTAATCTTTAAAGTAAGTCCTCTTTTGCCTTATGCTAGCTCATACTGCTTCTATTAAATGTAACCAAGGGCTCACACATAGTAGACAAACCAATGCTAACTGTAATTGTTTCACAAAAAGGTAGGCTGTGTGAAAATACTTTGAAGTACAATAGTACTTAAACATACAAGAAAGACTGAAAAGGCCATCTAGACCAAAGAACAAGAAACATGAGAAACATTTTTTCCAAAGTGCTACAGGATCTAGCTCAAAGAGAATGCGGAACAGAAGGCTAAGCAAGAATAAGATTATAGACAACTATGAATTTATATGAAAGGTTATCAGAGCATGGCTAGTCAAAAAGGAGAAAACATGAGAGCAGGATGGCACTAGAAAACAAGATAAACTGAAGAGGAGTAAAAGTAGAGGAAAAGAAATCAGATCAAGATTGGGTTATAGTGGTAAACACCAGTAATTCCAGCACTTAGGAGGCAGAGGCAAAAGGATTATGATTTCATGGGCAGCCACTACACAACCAAACCCTATCTCAAAAGACAGCAATTTTTTTTTTTTTTTTTTTTTTTTTTTTTTTTTTTTTTTTAAGTCAGGAACTAGGTCAGGAGATGGTAGCACACACCTTTGATTCTAACACTTGGAAGGCAGAGCCAGGGCTACACAGAGAGACCCTCTCTAAAACAAAACAAAACAAAACAAAACAGGTCAGGAACCAGGAAAGAAACAATGCTGACACAGGTTAGAAATCAAACAGTGGGTGATAGACTGAGAAATTCCACAGCAAAATGCCAAGGATAAGGAGATCCCAAAAGAGTGAATCACAAGGTACCATTCTTAGAGTTATTCTTGCTTCCTACAGCAGATCAAAGACACTCTGCAGAGCCTAAGAAGGAAAAATTGTGGGTTATTCACTAAATTCCAGTTAATAGCAAAAAATAACAAATAACAAAAAGCCTAGTTTTTATCTTAGCAGTGCTTGTAACTCAGCACACAGCTCTGTAACATCACAGTACAGATCAGAAAGCTAATAATTGTCATGACTTTTGTCTTTATGATGACTGCATTCCTTGACAATAATTCAATCCTTTTTCTATAGTGATACTAAGTGCAAACAGACATATGAACACAAGTGACTGGAGAAAAATAAAACAAAGCAGCATAAGGCAGAAAAAAACCCTACTGATTATTCTGCCTAAGAATCTACAAAAACAAAAGCAAAATGACAAAAAACTTGTCTATTTCTTTAAAAGCAGATCCTGAAGCTTTTCTCTTTTCTTTCAGTAGTCATTCAAAAATTTTAAAATGCCTACCTAAGGAACTCAGACCATTGTTAAATATTTTATAACTGCTTGGCTTATGATTTGTGGTTTTCTTTTCTTTTCCTTTCTTTTCTTTTTCTCTTTTCGGTTGGGTCTCTTTAGTAAGGACAGTAATTTCACTCATGAAGAATTTGTCTTCATAATCTAATCAGTCTCCAATGGCTTGATATTATCTTAATAATAATTAAGATTATTCAATCTATAGCACCACAGTCTTAAATTTTAATCTTTTTTGCAAGGGCCTACCAAAAAAGCAATACCTGAGGCTGAAGAAATGATTGAGTAGTTAAGAGTACTTTTTGTTCTTCCAGAGGACCTGAGTTTGGATCCCAGCACATATATTAGGTGACTTACAATCACCTGTACATCCACCTACAGGAGACCTGACACTTCTGGCCCAGAATGGACACCAGTACTTAAGTGTACATACCCATATGCAGACACATACACACCTATACAATACAACCTATAAAACTATTAAAAAAATTCAGTAGTGTCTTGGACATGCTAGGCAAGTATACTCCAACTAAACTACATTCCCCAGCCCCTGAAGCATTTTTAAGAGAGACTATCTGGGTTATTATATATATTATGTATATTAATATACATAAAGAAGATTTGGGAGACATGGAAAGTTATTAAGAGACCAATTTAAAGGGTATTATAATTATCTTGTATGAGATGATAGTGACATAGCAGCATCTAGAAGGCATAATCGGGTTCTGATTTGATTTTGAAGAAAGCACCTACAAGATTTATTGGCCTATCTTCTCTGACATAAAGAAATCTACCAAAAGCAACTAAAACTTCCAAATCCAGTAACTTGAAGAACTATGTTCTATTACATAAGTATTATAATATAATTAAAAGTATGTCAAACATTTACTGAGTTTTTTGTTTGTTTGTTTGTTTGTTTGTTTTTTAACAAGCAGTAGAAATAGAAATAGATCAATTATACCTGTGCACAATTCAGGACATCTCTCTGACATTCAAATGGAATTGTATAATGAATACTCCATTATATTAGTTATAATGGAGTTCTACTTAAAAGACAAAATTTCAGTTGTCACCAGGATATAACTGTGTTTGTATTTATGTATTTGGGACACAATTAAATCACCAAAGCATAAGTAAACAGAAAAGTTCAAAGCCTAAAGCCTCAAGGTATAACAGCATTGCTAGGTGATTGGTGGCAGAGGCAGGTGTATCTCTATAAGTTCAAGGCCAGCCTAGTCTACACAGTGGGTTCCAGGACAGCCAGGGCTACACAGGGAAATCCTACCTTGGAGAAAAAAAAGAAAAAAAAATGACATTTTTAGGAGGAAAAGATAAACAATAGTGAGGAAGAAAAGGAACATTCACTGAGACTAAAGCTAAATGAGAATATGGTATTCTAAAAGCAAGGTGAAGAAAATGGGATCAATCAATTCTGTTAAGTGAGATTAAGACAGAAATTACCACTGGTTTTAAGGTCACAATCACCAGGAACAATGGCTAGGATAGTTTTGGAGGAGTCAATAGAGAAGGCAGAATAGTATAGATTTAAGAGAAAAATGGGAACAAAACTGCACTATAGACAACTCTTTCAGGGAGTTTATCACAAAAGATCTACAGGTAGACCTGAGGTGTTTTGTGGTTTGTTTTTTTTTTTAATAAGCAAAACTACAGTATGCATGAGTATTTATGACAATGGCCTAATAGAAAAATTTTTTAAGCTGAAGACAGAAGAAAAAATGTAGTAGCAGTGCCCTTAGTAGATCAGAAGGGATGGAGTTTAGAGTAAATCAGAATCATACTTAGAAAACAACAGACAATTTGTCTATAGGAACTACAGAGGATGACACAGACGCTACCAAGTGGGCAAATCTGTGAGAGCTTGTGGAATAAAATGTCTCATCAAGTTATCACCACAGAGGCTGCCAAACTACAAACTATGGGCCAAACTTGGACAACAGCTTGTTTCATAAATTTCACTGAAACACAATCCACATTTGGTTACCTACATATTGTCTATGATGATTTTTCATATTACAATAGCATACAGAAACCATATGGTCCAGAAAGCCTAAGATATTTATCATTTGTTTATAAGAAAAGTTTGCAAACACAGGTATACTTAAACTAGTAACAATCTTAAATTTAGAGGCAGATCATCTGGCTATGAGGATAGAAGACATGATCATAGATAACACCAGCATCTAACAAGCAAGTGACACATTAACTTTTATGTTCTTCCTAGTACCAGACAGGTACTCACTGTGTGGCCCTGGCTACCTGGAACTCACTATGAAGACCAGGCTGGCTTTGGACCACACAGAGAATCTCCCAACTCTGCCGTCTGAGTGCTGAGATTAAAGGTGTGTCCCAGCATGATCTTCAGGAGATGAATTCTATGACTAATCAATTATTACTTAAATTTCATTCCTTATCCTGTTTATCAAACTGTCTTGTTATCTACTGCCACATCACTTTGACTGCTTTTATATCTAAAAGAAGTATAGTTTTTGTCTGTTACTAAGGGATCTCTCAAAAAGGGCGAGGTAAGAAAAACATCAGTTATATTTAAGAAACAGAATAGCATTCCAAGTTAATTATGACCATTTGTTTACTGAGAGAATTCAAATTGAATGTACATGCTAGGTAAATACAGAGCTAAATGCTTTAGCCCAATGACCATTTTTTTTTTTTTTTAATTTCAAGAAAGACACAACAAGGCTTTTTACCACAATGAATAAATAATTTCATACCATTTAGGTATACTTTATGTTTAACATAAAAATGGTATTAACAACTATCTATAGAGCTAATACTTATTTTTATCTATTATTACTTCTTGAAATGAGACCTCTGTGAAGCCTAATTTTTCAAACTCAAATATAATTTTTCTGATATTCATGTAGCAATACCAATCATAGCATCAATTCTACAGCATCTAATAATCTAAATTATTTTACTATGTAATCATGCTGCAATTTCTTATTTATTTCACTTCATTCAATGCTTTCACTATTCATGAAATCATTTTTAACATAGCACACATCAAATAGTGGTTTTGAAAATTCTCTACATTCATCATTATTTTACTAAGGGACAAAGTGCCATGGAAATCTGGCAAGGTGTCAAACATTTTATATAAAAAAGTTACTCAAAGAAGGAACATAAATGGTAACTTGGTATCTCAACTCAACTTTATTGTTCTACTCATCATAGTTGTCAGACATTAATTTCTAAATAAATAAAAGTTCATTCCTTTGTGAAAAAAAGGCCCTAAAAAGAATTCAATCTTTTGGTAAAGTTCTTGAAAGAACATGGTTTTAATTGTCAAGTAATGTAAAATCAACTCTGGCTATTTTAGTACATACTTAATGCTTTTGGAGAGGAGAATTAAGATACCAGGACCTAACTAACACAAACAAGTGTCCCGATTTTTTTGTGTCGAAGATAGATTAAACCATGTTTTCATAGAAGGGCACAGTATTTTCCACTATATTCTTATAGCTACCATTACAATCTGTTGGCAGTTTTTGCCTTTCATTTTGTGTATCAGGATATTCAGATGTTTATCCCAGGAAACCAGTTATAATTCTTTAGTGATTCTCCAATACCTTTTCTTCTATTTTGGCTAAAAATAAAACACTAAGGTAACTTAGAAAATTCACAGACATGTAGCCATTCAGTTCATTTAATTCAGTATTAAAACATGTAAACTAGTACTCTAGTACTCCAATCCTCATCATACCTTTCTCCCAGGAACAAAGGCACACAACTTAATGCTTGGACAATGCCATAATCAGGTACAGTGAGTGATCAAAAGAGATGATATCTGGAAATGAAAAACCAAGATTTCAAAATTCTGACTGTAAAAGTAAAATGTTTTTTGTCGATTATACTTCATATTTAACTTAGGCATATAAATTTGTTTTTAAGATCCTCAGTACTTAGGCATAAGCATATCACTGACACCCAGTGATAACATGTCACAACTTATATAATACAAAAGCTACAACTCAACGTATAAGAATCTAATACATTAGCATCATTTAATACAATAAAAAGACTGGTCTTACCCCACCCAAAGCACAAAAGCAGAACTAGCACTGCATCTGATTCTGAGCCACTTAAATGGTTCACTTACATGACCACTACTAAAGCATCTTGATGATGCTCAGTGCTGGTATCTAACATCCCATGAAAATTGTCTACCATGTGAAGCCAGTATGAATAAATTCATAGTCTATATGTGAGAGCAGACAACAAATAAAAATTTGAAAACTTTGTAATAACCTTTTTTTTTCTGCTTATTGCAAAAAAAAAAAAACAACTTTCAGTAGAGTAGCTGAAGAAATGCAAGATTCAAACTTTGCATTAAAACAATTAGGAAAAGTAGGAAGACTGGTCATATTAAGTGCTCTACAGGGCCCAATGCTTCAGTGAGAACAATCCCAAACAACTGCAATTGGTAGCAATAAAAGTACATCAAAAAGGCACTGTAGTGTATTTTTGAAATCATACTGTATTTAAAAAGTTTTCTTCATAATATTTCAAAATACATCAGCTTTTGGAACCATAGTATACTATTTCCAGATAATATATGGGAAGACATTAAGTATGCAATGACAAAATCCTCGGGTAAAAAGTTTATATAGTATGAGCTCACACAGTAGACATTCATTGTAACTGCTGTCCTTTTATCCTTTCCAACACCAGACACACAACGGTTTAAATTGGTAATAACAATTCGGTAAAAAAAAAAAAAAAAAAAAAAAAAAAAAAGTAAAGTCTATGTGATTAGCCATCCTATAGAATGCCAATACCCCAAAAGTGTCAATATGAGCTGACTTTCATGAATTTCTCAAAAAATACAGCTTTGCTGAAGGATAATGAACTCATTTTGCACAGAGTTGCAAGTATAACTTTTAAGATGTGGGGAATTTTAGCGAGTCACTAAATATTCTGTGTTCACTCTGACCATACTAGAGCACACCCAAACCAGATCTGTTTTGCTGATAAAAGAACAATTCAATCAAGAGTGCCCAAAAAACCAGACTTTCAGATTAATGACGCTCCAACCTCGATGTGAGTTATTTTCAAGCTGCATCCCTGAGATAATCACAGACAGTTCAACATCCTCATGGATTCCTTAACAATTGACCTCCCCCCCCCCACCCCTATTCTCAAGACTTTGGAGAAAAAAAAATTTGATTCACAAACCCTAAATGCCCCAAACTTAAGCTAACTGAAGAGAAAACTAACCCTTAAAACTTGTGTCTTCTAAACTTCGAAGCTCCATCTGGTTCCACTGGTCTAGACAAGAAGAGTTAAAGCACATCACCCGTCTACTTTGGAGCTACCAAAGCCATCTCTACTCAGAGACTCCACACTTAACAAAGAGGACACCATGTTAAGAACTGATTCAAGATGGACCCTACAAAGTAAAAAAGCCAGTTACAAAGAAACCCATCTGCCACTGGGTGTGGTTGGGGTGGGGTGGGGGGCGTCTGCACAGAGGGGCACTTTTTCTGCCCAACTCTGAGAAGGGCGCGGAGGGCGGGGCACAG